CTATAACTAATTTAAACAATAATTTTTTAAGCGTTTAATCGCCATAAAACCAATTTTATACCAATCATATTTTAGCATCAAAATAATGAGAGAATATCTATTATACTTTTTGTTGTTTAGCTCTTTAACCCTCCGTGTGTCTTGGCTGGATCAACAATCGTCATAATTATCATTATCATACAGCGTCATTCATTCTCGCCACTTCATATGTGCTATCCTTCACCAGTGTCTGTAATCCCTGTTCTGATGTTTTTGGTAAGTGTTAAAGTTTCAGCACCATACGCCCATATTGTGAATCGACATTGTTTAAAAACCTTCCTTTTCCGACACATTCATATATTGCTATATTCTATAAGACCAAATTAATTTTATTCATCTTTTAACTTCGCAAGTTTAGTTATCTTATCTTGTAAAAATGGAGTGCACAATATCCTCCATCTTATGGCTTTCTGGATAAGCCATACAGTCTGTAGTCAACACCACAAGATATGGGCAGGAACACAAAGTGTATCAATATCCATAGGCTTATAAAACGTACCTGTCGTCTCCTAAGGGCCTTCACGTTTTACTCTTATTCATCTCCTTAAATGAAGTATCTCATAATAAAAATATCATTTTTCCTCTCTTGTTAAATCAGCCTCTCTTGTTTCTTCCAATCCCGAATGGCTATTAAGTTTCCGAGGCCAGATGGATCACTATATTTTTTCTACTAGTAAACGAACGATTACCAGTATAAGTAATTCTCCACTTACTTGTTAAACTGTTTGTTCGGGCTGTTAGGCTGTTATCTTCTGAGATTAGTTCTCGACGTTTCGCCAACACTAGGGGTTGGCATCTTCTGGAGATGTTACTTCGCTTGTAAGCTGAAACTTACAACATGGATTGAGATGTGGAAAGCCATGGGATAACTATCACATAAAAGATCCTTAGGGCACCACAACGGCTGAAAATCTAACAGAAACATCCCTCAGTCCCGGGCACCCCTTAAGTGGTGAGAGGGTGTTAAGAATCTCCCAGTTAGGCAATAATGTCCCAAAACATGTATGCAGAACATTCGAACCATGTACCAAGTAAGCAAGGCAGCAAATATTGATCAAGAAACGATATAGTATTAACTTGATTTTTATGGGTATTGGTAAACCATGCCATTTGAATAACTCAAAAACTATTTTTTTAAATGCAGATCTTGCTTTATCTATCCTAGGTATGATTTCTAGGGAATGGTCCCAATTTCCGTTAATGTTCGCACCAAGGTAGGTGTATGTTTTTATCCTTTCTATTCGTTGACCATTTACACTGATTCGTCAAAATTGCAATTCCTTTTTAGAGATCATTATAGATTTTGTTTTCTTAATGTTAAGTGAAAGTCCATATATCTACTTACTTCTGTACTAGGTAATCTTTGAAATTAAAGTCCAACCTTTGACACCATATAAATAGAGAACACATAACATCTTACTAATCTAATATTCAGTCTTAAAGTAATACTTACATATAAGATTTTCTTCATCTTTAAAAATGCAGCTCTGGCCTTCTCTATACGTATTCTTTACTTATGTCTCAGTTCTAATTTAGGTTACAACCAAGATAAGTAATACTGTTGGTTCTCTCCAATTTTTCTCCATAAGCTGTTATTACTTCTGGTTGTATTGGCGATTTACTGACAACCATTACCTTTGTCTTTATGGTATTTAGCTTAAGTCCATATTCATCATACGTTGTGGTAATGCTATTAATCAGATGTTAAAGATTTTCGTAACTATTTGTAATTAACATCGTGTCATCCGCGAACCTTAAATTATCAATATTTATGCCATTTATTTTTATACCACATTGAACACTATCCAATGCTTTATTGAAAAGAAATTCCGAATGGATGTTAATATTATTGGGGACAGAATGCAGCCTTGTCTTACTCATCTTCGTATTTTAAGCTCTTCAGAATTATCCTAGCCCAGGGGTGCTCAAACTTGAACTGCTGGCGATCTACCTCAATATTTTTAGACTACTTACGATCGACTCTGAGAGACTGTGTGATGCAGGGTTGTCGTACATACACGATACACCCTACCTACCTAGGTAGGGCGTACCGTAGCATATATAGATATTAGCTTTCTGCACAATATAGGTACATTATTTTAGTCTAGGATTGGGTTAGGTTTAGTTAGGTTCTTCTCTACAATATCAATGAAAAAACTCATAGTTATTTAAAATTGCGAGTTTATTTGTTGTTACAAAACAAAAGAGTTACATATGGTGTTAAACTTAACTAAGGAGTGGCTTTGAATGTTGAAGCGTGGCACTGCATATCCTTAGCATACTTTTCATAAGATGGTACGTAACCACTGAGTGCTAATCGCAAGCATGATGTCATATGATCGTCAGTTAGTCGATTGCGATATTTTGACTTAATTATCTACATTTCAGAAAATGCAGACTCGCACAAGTAAGTTGACCCAAAAAATGCCGTCAGTTGAAAGGCGATTTGCCTTACATTCGGATATTTATCTTCAGATATAAAACGCCAGAAATTTGTATCAGATACTGTTGTAGCTTTGAGATATATATCTGATATAATCTGCACCAACTCATTTTCAACAGAACATGAGTTCATATTAAACTGACTTGCTATTTCAGTAGCTAATTCCTCAATGTTTTTACATGAAAAAGGATAACTCATAAATGATGCTATATTTTCCAATTTACTGCAATCATAAAAACGCATTTTGAATTGTCCCAAAATATTTGATAATTCAGCCTCATACGTATCATAATTCAACTGAGGAATCCTTGCTTTCAAAGACTCAATAATAGTTTTTCCTTTACCTTGAAGCTCCAAGTTAACGGTGTTTAAGTGCATTGTGATGTCAGTCAAAAATGCCAAATCATTTAGCCATTTTTCGTTTTTCAAAATCTGAGTGTCATCACCTCTTTCGTCTAGAAAAGCTGTTATTTCGGGCAATAATTCTTGAAACCTTTCTAGGAATTTTCCGCAACTCAACCACCTGACGTCCGTGTGAAGAACTAAATCAGTGTGTTCAGCTGACTCCCTATCTTCCAACTGCAACTGAAAGAGCCGCCGTTGCAAGCTACGTGCACGGATGGAATTCACAATTTTTGTTGCAATGCCCATAATTTCCTCCGTGTTTAAAACTTTTGAACACAAAACTTGTTGATGTATAATGCAATGGAATGAAAAAAATGAAGGGAATTCTTCGTTAGCTCGACACAATGCCACAAAACCGTTTTTGTTTCCAGTCATTGCTGGTGCTCCATCGGTTGTAATGCACATTAATTTATATATTGGTAGCTCGTAGTTTTTTACAAAATTTAAGAAAACGTCATATACATCTTCGCCACGGGTCTTCCCCTTCAGAGGAATGATTGTCAAAAATTCTTCCTTAGCCAACATGTCATTGAATACCATCCGAATAAAAATACACAGCTGGGCAGTGTCTGTCATATCGATGGATTCGTCGAACTGTAAAGAAAAGTATGTACATTCCATGATATTATGTATTAGTTTATCTGCGATGTCTTGACTCATGACTTCAATACGCCTTGTGACCGTCGGACGAGATAACTGAAGTTCTCTAATAGCAGACATGATTTCTGTTTTATTTTTAAAATCTCCAAATAGAGTCTCACCCGCTTCAATAAATGCTTCCTTCACCACCGATCCATCTTCAAATGGTTTCTTGTGTTTCGCCAAAATATGAGATATTTTAAATGACGCGATCGTAGCAGCTTTTGATTGTTTGGCTGGTCTTGTGAACATGGATTGTTCTTTTTTCAAACAAGATATCAAATCACTTACTTTTCGTTTTCTTAATTCACTCTGTGGCGGAAAATCCTTTTCATAGTTTTTATGAACCGTGTTATGATGCCTCTCTAATTTACCACGCTTAGGTATTGCAACTGACGCACGACAAATAACACAAATGCACTTATCCTTCACCATAGAAAAGAAAAATTCTTCCTCCCAATCCTTATTAAAATGATACGTTTTAGATTTCTTCACTGCACTCATTTTCCACTATTTAATAATAAACTTTGTATCGACGTAGGATCGCTATCAAGTTACAATTCAGAATAGCTCCAATTCCTGCAGGCGCAACATTTATATCGGCGTGAACGAAAGTCTCGAATGTTTCCGTCAAACGCGCCGCCCGAAACTAGACTGTACTGTCTCTCGTCTAGAAACAACATGGCTTTTCTTTGACAAATGCCGCGCGTTCCTTTGATAAAGCCACCTTTTGCCGCAAGCAGGGTTATTTTATTGCGTAATACATTTTTGTAGTTGATAGAATATCATCCCAAATTTGATTAATAATTATAATAAATATTGAATTAATAAAATAATTATTTAATATATGTAAATATAAAATATGCTGTGTGGACAATATTTTGTTGTCCCCACTTCTTTGAATTGCAATGATGCTTAGTCAAACATTCTATGTATTTGTATAGTTCAGTATTAATAAAAACGTTTAACTCTGATGACAGTAGTTTAGTTACCTACCTACTTATTAAATTTTTTTTTCTTCTCGAGATCTACCCAAAAAGCACTCGCGATCGACCGTTTGAGCACCCCTGTCCTAGCCAATCCTGATGTTTACACGCTGATGCCAGTAAAGATTCATCCATTCCATCCATCCATTCATCCGACTTTTCCCCTTCTCTTTCTTTTCTATTATGTGTTATTCTTTAATCTTCTTGAAGGTTTCACAATATCCTGGAGTGATCCTTCTGCATTACATGTTTGCTCCACATTACTTAGCTTCTTTGAAAGAATCCGTGCGACTGTCACTTTTGTTTCCTTGCCTTTTAGTCTTCTCACATCGCAATTTTTGTTACTATTCTTTTTTGGAACCTTCTTAAATTGATCAACAATAAGAACATGATCTGACGATATTTCAGCATCGGGTAACTTTTAACTGATAGTCATCCATTACGGAAATTCTCCGTTGTGTAATCCATTTGAATCCGTATTACCTTTCATGTTTAATCTTGCGGAGATATCCAGGTATACAAACGTCTTAGTGGTAGTTTAAAGAATATATTTAATATTGCAAATTCTTCTTCCTCTACAAACAGTTTTAATCTTTCTTCTCTTTCATTTCTCTTAACTAGAACAAAATCACCACTGAATTCACCGTTTTTTCCTTTATCGATTTTCGCATTTAATACGAAACAATATAACAGGAATAAAATAATAAAATAGAAACTTTTTCTCTTATAGGTGTGTAATTGGTTCGCGAACTGGCGACGAAAACTCAAAAATGCCGGCAGAGAACCGCATAAAAAAACATGGTCATCTTTGATCAAAACCTACAACAACCAAGTTCAAGGAAACGTTGAACATTTAAGTATTTGCTCAAACGATAGTATATGGGAAGAATCAGATAAAACATCGAGTTACACTAACGATAATTATACACAAGAGAAACATTTATACGAAGAAACATATTTTAATAACAATAACAACGACATCCAAAACCAGTGCTATTACATTAGTTCCACAACTGAAAACGACCACGAAAATCCCTTTTCCCAAAATACGTGTAAGTACAAAAACCACATGATGGAAAAGTATTTAAGGGACTGTCAAAAACCCTTCCAGACCAGTGATGACAATAAACCTATGATGTCAAAATGGCTAAAAAGTGCAGCTAATTTCATACCGAACGAAAGCAGTTACCTAGACTGGACCTTAAGCAAAATAAATATTACCAAAAAGAGATTTAAAATTAACGAAAATGGTGTAAACGTGATGATGCATGGTAGGGAAGAACTCGACGCTGCTGAAGCATTGACGACTTTAGCAAATTCAATACATAAGTTATAAAAATCGGTAATAGTGTTGAATTATTATTGATATTGTTTTACTAGTCTAAAATTTTTACAATGTAAAAAATAGATCAACGTAACAATTATATTACTGATAAGAGCATCCAATAGTTTTGTAATTAACTTTGTTATTATTGTTAAGAAAAACTGTTGTTTTGTTTGCTATTGTAATTTATAAATCGATATGTGATTAAGTTTATTATAATATAAGTACTTTTTGTATGCGTGTTTTTGTTATTAATATCTATTTTTTTATATACCGTGATTGTCTGGGTATTTCTTTTCTGTCATCTTCCTAATGTGCCAATAATGACAGTTGAATATTCCGTGGGTAACTAAGCCAATCATCTTACACTTTTCTACCTCAAATCACGTAGTTTTCTTTATCTTTCCAATGGAACTACATCCTAAATCGAGCCTTGGACTTCTCCAAACTACTCCTTTAAGTTCTAAGGTTCTGCAAATTGTGTGCGTCCGCTGTCATTTCAGCCTCCCACCTTTTCCCTGGCCTTTCTTTTAGTCTTGCGCCCTGCATTTTACTATATAGAGCTCTTTTCTGCAATCTTTCGGTCTCCAATCTTACTACCTGACCAGCCCATCGAAATCTTGAAGTATAACGAATTCTGAGATTGATACCTCTTTGAAAGTTGGTAGAGTTAATGGTTGTACCTGGATCTCCTGCACCTGCGGTAATATGCAAATGGATAAGGGCACCCCTAGAGAATAGGATAGTAATGTGCACTCTGGGTAAAGCAACCATCAAAGCAAAAGTAGGTGAAGGCTGTCCACAAGGAGGAGTTCTGTCCCCTTTACTTTGGACAACCTTGGTAGATGATCTCCTCAGATATTTGTCCACAGAAGGCTTCTATTGTCTAGGATATGCTGACAATATAGCAATCGTCGTCAGGGGCAAGTTTGCTCAGGTCGTGTCTGTGAGGAAGCAAGCAGCCCTAAATATAGTTGACGACTGGTGTAAAGAAGAGAGACTGATAGTCAATGCTCAGAAAACACAAATCGTCAACTTCACCAAGAAAACAGCACTACAATGCATAAAACCACCGGTGCTGGGAAGAACAGTGATTTCATTTGCCAAAGAAACAAAATACCTTGGGGTATATTTTGATCATAGGCTTACATGGAATACTCACATTCTAAAAACCACACAGAAAGCTACTATGTCCCTGGGCAGATGTAGAAGAACGTGCTGTAAGAATTGGGGACCTAACCCCAAAATGACTCTATGGTTATACACAAGGGTTATTAGACCCATAATAACCTATGGCTCGGTGACGTGGTGGACAAAGACGCAGCAAGTGGGAGCAATAAGGCTGCTAGGTAATACAGAAAGGCTAGCATGCCTGTGTATTACGGGGGCCATAAAAACAACTCCTACTCGTTGGAAGTCCTGTTGAATTTACCACCAATTCATATCTTTATACAGGGCGAAGCTAGATCAGTGATGCACAGGAGGAGCTAAAAGAGGCACTAATCGAGGAGCTAAAAGCCGATATTGTGATGGGGAGAACTATCGATGCAACAGCTACTAGATATAGCTTTAACAATAAATTCACAATTAAGATATCAGGCAGGGAAGACTGGAATAAAGGTGTACCTATAAAAGATGCTGCTACCTGGTACACGGATGGCTCAAAAACATCGGAGGGTGTTGGAGCCGGCATAGTAGGGACAAATCAAGAGATCCATTTCCCGGTAAGTCTATCTAAGGATGTGACAGTTTTCCAGGCGAAAATAACTGCAATCCATCACTGCGTGGAAAAAATAGAAAGACAGGAAAGAACGTTCTGTTCAGTTGCCATCTTCACAGATAAGTGAAGGCAGCACTTAAGGCACTCAATTCTGTAGAGGTCAATTCTAAGCTAGTATGGGATTGCGTATATGCCCTAAATAAACTAGGAGACCGTAGCTGTAATAATGTTTAACACGGACTGTTGTACATATTTATTAATATTACTTTCAGTATTACAGATTACAGTGTCATCCTAACCTCCTAATCTAAAGTGCTTAACCTAACCTCTGCCCCGAGACCACGTGCCGCCTGTCCCATGTCATAGTCCAGTCAGGATTTTACATTTACAAGCTATTCAGTCTCATGACATCTTTCCCTTCCTATAATATACAGACATTACAACAATGAACTAAGAATAAAAACATTCTAAAATAAAAACTAATAACAATACTGATTGCAAAACTAGTACATTTCAAAATCATTATATCTAGATGGGGGTTTAATTAATCTTTTACTTCTGGTAGGAAACTGATTCGATATTTCACTCTCACGGGCCATTGATGTTGAAGGTCTGCCATTCTCATTGTGATCAAAATCATCTGCTAGGTTAATATGATGTTTAGGCATATTATTAGATGGTCTCAAGTGATAGCTATTTCTTCTTACAAGTGTTCCATTTTCTTTCTCAACAACATATGATCTTGGCTCTTGTAAACCTCGTCTAACCACAGCAGGTTTCCATTGCCCATCTTCTCTTATAACCACATTATCCCCTACACTTAATGCTTCTTTTGTAGCTGTATTTCTATCATAGTAGCGCTTGTACAATTTTCTTTTATTATCCAATTTATTCTTTTCATTTTTTAGGTCTACCTGTTCTGGTAAATATTTCTCTTGTAAAACTGGAAGTTTGCCTCCAAGTCTACGACTATTCAAGAGTTGTGCTGGGGACTTGTCTGATCCTAATAGTGGTGTATTTCTATATTCTAATAAAGCTAACTGAAGATCTTCACACTTCCTGAAAATATTTTTAGCTATCTGGACGGCTCGTTCTGCCTGACCATTTGCTCTAGGATATCTAGGACTAGATGTCACAAATTTAAAGTTCCATTCCTTAGAAAATTCTCGACATTCCTTAGAGCCAAAAGGCATATTATCAGATACAACTTCCAAAGGAATCCCATGAGTGGCAAACATCGTCTTAAACGAATTTATTATTGACTGGGATGTTTTGGACTGCAACGGAACAATTTCAATCCACTTTGTGAGATAATCCATTACAATTAAATAAGATGTTCCTCCAAATTCACAAATATCAGCTGTTAGCATTTGAAATGGCAGTTCTGGAATTTCTCTTAGTACTAATGGCTCTTTAACATTATTTCTCTGATATTTCTCACACTCAACACAATTTCTAACCAAATCCACTATGTTCTTATTCATATTTGGCCAGAATAATACCTGTCTCGCTCTTTGCTGTGTTTTTGTAACCCCAAAGTGTGTTTCATGAAGCAGCTTTAACATCCTATGCCGCAAAGAATCCGGAACTATGACTCTGTCCTTATAAAACATCAAATCATTTAATGAGTAAACATCATGCCTAATATTAAAATAATCTTTGACTATGTAAGGTACCCTCGATGCACATGACGGCCACCCTTTTTCACAAAAATCTCTAATTATTTGAAGCTTCTTATCCTGTTTAGTTTCAGCTATAAATTCCTCTCTCCTTTCTTCTGTTATATTTAATGTATGCACTATTTCCGTTACAAATGCATCATCCTCTACCTTTTCCTTCAAAAAGTTTCGAGACAACAAATCAGCTATAAGCCTTTCCTTGCCTTAACTTCTCTACCATAAATATAATTATGAAATTTATTACAAGAAAATAGGATTGCATTTAGTTCCTTTTCAATCTGGCTAAATCTGGTTTCACAATTGGTTAAAGATCTAGAAGCAAAAGATACAGGTTTAAGATTTTGTAATAATACACATCCAACACCATTTTGACTTGAATCTGTTTGAATTATTATTGGAATATTTTCATCAAAAGTTGCAAGAACTGGTGGTGAGCAAATTAACTTTTTTATTAAATTAAATGAGTTTGTGTGACTTCTAGTCCACATCCAAACTGTATCCTTTTTCAACAATTCTCTTAGTGGGGCTGATACATCCGATAAATTTGGTATAAAATTGCGATGGTAATTGATCATGCCCAGTATTCTTTGTAACTCTTTTTTATTATTGGGTTCTTTTAAATTTATAATAGCTTTAACTTTATCTACATCAGGTCTTATACCATCTTTATCAAATGTATTTCCCAAATATTTTACTTCCGGCATTCTATACTGTATCTTATTGGGATTAAATTTTACTCCAATATTTCTAGCACGTTCTAATACTTTATTAAGGATTCTATCATGTTCTTTAAGACTACCTGCAAATATCAAAAGATCATCAAAATAGATGAGACATCCCTCAATATCACCAAAGTTTTCTAAGTTAATTCTTTGAAAAAATTCAGGAGCAATATTTAGTCCAAATGGAAGTCTATCAAATTTCCAAATTCCAAAAGGAGTTCTAAATGCACAAACTCTACTGGACCTCTCATCAAGTTGAACTTGATAGAATCCCTCTTTAAAGTCCAAAACAGAAAAATAACATTTGTTTTTTAACTTACTGCATATCTCTTCAATAGTAGGTATTAAACAATATTCCTTTTTAAGTGCTTTGTTTAAATCTCTAGGATCTAAACAAATTCTTAATGTTTTATCAGTTTTTTCAACTATAACCAAATTGCTCAACCACTCTGTAGGACCCTCACATTTAGATATAATGCCACGTTTTTCTAAATCTAACAGTTGATTTTTTAATCTCTCTTTAATGGCTTGGCTAAAGGGACCCTTCGTGGGGGCTTAGCCACAGGAACACAATTCTCTTTGAGTTTTAGTTTACATTTTTGAGGACATTTACCTAATCCAGTGAATACATCAATATTTTGTTTAATAAAGTCATTTTTTGTTATATTTAAATCTATGGTATCTACTCTTTGTATCAAACCCAAATCTAAACATGATTTTAAACCTAAAATTGGCATAAGGTTATCCTTAACTATAACAAATTCTAGTTGAAATATGTTCCCTTTAAATAAACATTTTAGTGTAATAATACCCACAGGTTTTATTTTAAATCCCCCATAAGCTTCTAACCTTATTTTGCTCTGAATTATCTCATGATTTTTATTGATTTTATTCAAAAAGTAGATTGATATAATGTTAACCTGAGAACCTGTATCTATTTTAAAGTCTATTCCATATTGCTCAATTACTAACCTTTCAGTCCATTCCTTATTTCCTTTTATTTCATTTACCTCAATTGATGTTACCATAAATTCTTCCTGTTTACGGTCCATATCTACTTCTTGAATCTCCTGAACTTCTCTTATGATTCTGTTGTTACACATTTTCTCGAAATGAT